GACAAACTACTGCAGGACTAGCAGAATCAGTGGAAACAAGATGGATCATCACTGAAGAAGATGATAAGATTCATTGCAATGTAGACAACAGCAAATTGACTGAAGTATTAGTTGGAGTTGACATTAGAACTGAAACTGGTAATAGGAACCAATATCCTAGAATAGAGCTATGGGAAGTACGAGGTCCAGGAGGATCCAGGATTAGAACAGATCAGATATCTGTTGAACTTAGGCTATCTCCATACAATTTCACTACCAATGGACTGTATCATTATACACTACCTACTCCTTTGAACATTGAGGATAATTTCAGAGATTACAGACTAGGAGTATATCAACCTCCTGATGATAGAAGTGTTGTTAGATTTTATAAAGTAACTGGTACTGGTCAAATTGGAAGAGCAGTTGATATTGGGGATGATAGCATTGACAAAAGTAATTTAGATTTACAAACCTCAAGTATTCTAATACATCCAATTACAAGTATGTCATTAATGAAATGTATTTATTATTTTAATGTATTTATAGGTAACAGTTGCAATTATCCTCCAATTGACAGTTCATTTAATACAAACAGTCTATCAGTTACTAATGTAATACCAGTCAGTGATACAAGAGCTTTTCCTGATATACAGTTCACATGTAATGGTATTATTACTAACTGGATAATTGGTATTACACAGAATCAGACTACAAGCAAACATTATCCTAACATTTATTTAAAACGTTCTTCTCAACTGATTCATGCACTAACTGTTGATGCTTCTGCTGCTACATCAAGTAATGGTAATGTATATAACTTTACAAGTGATATTGAAGTACAGTATGGAGATATATTAGTAATCAATGTAACCACTAGTAGTAATCCAATGTATTATCAACAATACAATGGACCATTGAATTATCAGCTTGATAGCAGTAATGGATTAATACCATTGGAACATAATGACTATCCACTGATATCAGTTGTAGTAGGTAAGATATGTATTGTAATTCAATAGTAATTAATATACAATGCTTGCCTTCACTAGTAGCTACATGTAATAAATTTTGTTAGGGTCAAGTCCATCACTAGTAGGAACATCTTCTACAGTTACTTCTACTTATACACAATCACTAACAACAAACTCCCATACTCCAGTAACTACAATAACTACTAATATGGACACACCACCCACTACCTCATTGATCACAAATCATTCTTCATCATCATTATCATCCTTGACCAGTTCCCCCACACTAATGATACCAACTTCAATAACCACTACACCTCACATCACAAACACACACTCTCAACCATCAAACGCTCTCACTCCAGCACTTCCTGTTACTATGAGTCATACTCCAGATACTACTACTGATGTGAACATACCATCCACTACCTTGTTGCAGTCTACATCATCATCATCCTTGATGACAAGTTCCCCCACACAAATTCAATCAATAAACAATACACTTCACATCACAAACACACCTTCTCAATCATCAAACACTCTCTCTTCAACTCTTCCTGTCACTAGTCCTACTCCATCAATCAGTGATGGTACAGTTAGTCCTCCTCCTCCTATAGTATCAACCATCAGTAGTACATCAGTTACTGATAGCTCGACCAGTAATCCATCAGTTACAGTATCTACTGAAGGTGAAAGCAGTACTGGCAGTAATACACTAGCAGCAGTACTTAGTACAGTATTTATATTACTGGTAGTTACTATACTAGTAATATTAATAGTGAGTGTATTAGTGTGTAGGAGAAGATTGTATAAAACAACAAATGGAAATGATACTTTCAGTTCTGATGAAAGAAAAGCTGACATAAATCAACAATCAGATGGTAATTAAAACTATTGTCATGTACTAATATTAATCTAAATACAATAGCACTAAGATCGAATGAAGGACAGAACACATTAACAGTATCAACTAATCCTGCCTATGGAGTTACTGGTGAAAGTAAGACCTAATGATATTATATAAGTACAATAATGATATTAACATCATGACATAGACTGGAATACTGATGTATCTGCTAATCCTGCTTATGGAGTTACTGAAAGTAAGATAGACTATAAAACAATACATACATTATCATTAATGACATTTATTAATAGAATCTGGTGTCTCTGCTAATCCTGCCTATGGAGTTACTGAAAGTAAGATAGACTATAAAACAATACATACATTATCATTAATGACATTTATTAATAGACTCTGGTATCTCTGCTAATCCTGCCTATGGTATTCACAACAGAGAAGGAATAGAAAGTATGCATATATGAACCAAGTACATGTATATAGTGTGTATGGATCAATAGGAGAGTATTGTTAATGTGTGGTGAATATTATGGTCTATATAGTGTGACATATTGTATTGAATTATTACAGGTATTGATGAAGAAGCATTAGTATATGATG